GTTTGTTTGTTTGTTTGTTGTTTGTTTGTTTGTTTGTTTGTTTGTTTGTTTGTTTGTTTGTTTGTTTGTTTGTTTGTTTGTTTGTTTGTTTGTTTGTTTGTTTGTTTGTTTGTTTGTTTGTTTGTTTGTTTGTTTGTTTGTTTGTTGGGGTTTGTTTGTTTGTTTGTTTGTTGTTTGTTTTTTCGTTGATGTGGCAGCAACTTTCGATCATATTTACGCTGACTCCAACAAACTCGTGCTCAGTTTCTGTCAACAGTTTTAATTTACTGTTCAGGGTGACTTGGCACTGATTTTTATGATGCTTTTAATGTTTAGTAGGTACAGGCAATAGAAATATAATCAACGAGAGAAACTCAGTTGCCTGAGAGTAGGGACTTTATAAAAGGACCAACCTGTTCAGGACTTCTTGGTTTGACAGCATTGGGCGAAAAGTTCACAATAAAGTCCACACTGTGGTCCTCTCGACCTTCTTGGAAGATCTTCAGACTACCCTGAAAAGCTTCTGTCTGCGAGGCAGCACAGACACTTGCCTGGAATATCTTGGATGGGAGTGACGGTAGATTTTCAGGCCCATATTCCCGCCACAGGATCGAATGTTGAATTGTCTGAAATTACAAGGGGCGCAATGAGTGAAAATGCTTAACAAGATATAAATGTATGACACCTCGTAGCAAGTCGTTTTTATAAGAACGAGATCTATTATTTAAGTGGCCGGCTGACCAATTGAAGTACCAAGCAACAAGACGAGGGACTTACAGGCCTGTGTCTAGATCAACGGGCAGACAGAGGGCCTGACAGATAAACTCAGCAACAATTCGAGCACAAGTCTTAAACCAATCTTACCTGCCAGCCTCTTTCTGGTTCGGTTATTTCCCACGAATGTACATCTGAACACATGCTCATTTTAATGTCTTTTCCTGGATCACAGCGCCTCACCTCCAAATGTTCACGCATGTCCACCTGGTTAAAGCCATTTTTCGTCTCAACCGTCTTAACTTCCTGTAGAACGTTCAAAAGCAAAGATTAAACAACCGAGTTGACCAATTTTTGAATCGTTTGTGTAGCAAAAGAGTTTTTCCTTGGATTGGCCTGTACTGGTCGACAATGTACATAATTAGGAACTATACTCATTCTCACGTTTTAATTTAAAGGCATTCATGGGCATGATTAAGCTTGATTTTTTAAATAGCCATCAATGATCTTCAATTGATATGTTGTTCTCACCTGAAAATTTGCCTTTGTATCGTCAAACAGTCGAACACGAACCATTAATCTACCGTTGGGCATTCCTTTGATGAATACACATGCTACCATGAATTTAACTGAAGGTGATCCATATGCGGCAAGTCCACAGAAGTGGCTCATCGTCATCAAGACAGAATTAGTTTTGACGAGCAACGTTCCATCTTTACCTCCTTCTAGCTTCTGAAGCCCACTGGAGGTGGACTTGATGCAAGAAAACTCGGTCCCCACGGCTTCCTTGGCGCAATGGGGCAAGATTAAGAAGACATCCTTGCTGAAGTGAAATCCCGAGGGTCCACAATGGACATACGGAGTGAGATAGTTGCCACCACTGGTAAGGCCTCCTTGGACATAGACGTAAACTCGCTGAGATAATTCTTCAACAGGTATGGCGCCTGGTGGAATATACAGGTGAACACCTAAGGCATCAATAGACAGAAACCCACCACGACTATCCAACATTGCAGCAGCAAAGTTGAAGATCTGAACAACCCGACCGACTACGTTAATGTTCATCTCTTTTGCTTCTTGACACATCTTGTCAAACAATTCAAGTAAATCTTCTTTCGGAAGAATGACATGTTGGATTTCTTCCATGATCGTTGACTGATTTGAACTTCCCCCATCATCAGGGCAAGATGATGATCCCGAAAATACAGATCCAGATTCGGGCTCTCCACTTAGAGCGACGGAATGGCTCGATTCATCGGCATCTTCCGTTGAAAAGCCCGGGTTTGTTAAAGCCTCCTTGTCTGTGTCGATCTCCGATGTATGGTTACAGAAACACAGCCAACGGAATAAGCGCCTGAGGAAACGCACTGGGTGTAGACCATTAAATGTGGTGTCGAACTGGGCTATTTGAAAACTCGGATCTCCCTGATTTGTCTGAGGACACACCTCGTCAATTTGACAATTGGGGTTTGTCTGAGGGCAAACCTCGTCCATTTCAAAATTGGGATTTGTCTGAGGACCAAATTCGTCAGTTTGAAAATTGGGATTTATCGGAGAGACCTCGTCTATGTGAAGACTGGGATTGGTCTGAGGATCGGCCTCGTCCATTTGAAGACTCGAATCGGTCTGATTTTTCTCAAGACTAACGTCGTCATTTTGAAAATTGGGATTTGTCTGAGGACCAACCTCGTCCATTTCAAAATTGGGATTCGTCTGAGGACCAAGGTCATCAGTTTGAAAATTGGGATTTGTCGGATAGACTTCGTCTATGTGAAGACTGGGATTTGTTTGAGGACCCATC